TTATTGAATTATATTTAATATCTTTTTAACCAGTTAGTACTTGTATAATATTATTGGACCAAATATTTCCTCTGTATCTAAACTTGTGCAAATTTTAAACAAATTCTGAATATTATTTCCACGTGTTTTTGTCATTTGAATCGACGTAGTTATACGTTTGCCATAAGAACACATGTTAATTCGGTGCCAATTATAATCCTTATAACATGTGAACGTTTTAGTGAATCCATTTAAAAATTGTACTGCATAAAATAATAAATGCTCCTCCACGATTAAAGTACATACAGAAACAAAGCGGAAACCTCCTGATTTTATATTGAAAATTTAAAATAATTGAAAAATCGTAAAAAGGTCATAACAATATTTGCTTAATATAAAAGTTTTGCAGTTTGTATGCACAAAATAAAATAGAGATTGTATGAAGGAATATAAATATAATCCCGTTAGAGATTGTATGAAGGAATATAAATGAATTTTTAGAAATGAGTTTAGAAGCCTGATGAAAAAGATTTCGGTTTATTTATCCGAAATCTTTTTCATTAGGCTTCTAAACTCATTTCTAAAAGTTCATTTATATTCCTTCATACAATCTCTAGCGAGAACCTATCTTATTTTGTACATACAAAGCAAATATTGTTACGATTTGACCCTAGAAACCGATAAAAAAACTGTAATTTTTCAATTTTTTCTTTAATTTTTAACATAAAATCAGGAGGTTCCCGCTTTGTTTCTGTATGTACTTTAATCGTGGAGGAGTATTTATTATTCTGTGCAATTAATAAAATGATTTCGGGCAAAAATGAAATATGACATTTTATCGGTAAAACAAGGCATCCCTTTAATAACATCACCCAACAGACATATCGAATAATAATGAATATTTCAAGACAACTTTTTATACAGGAAATATTTCTGTTACCAAAACACAACCAAATTACAAATTCTCGCCGCTGCATTTGTCAAATCTTATCCTTCCGTCAAGAGAAAATTTAAAATCTTTTATGAATCATAATATCGCTGTCACTTTCTGATGCAAGGTCATTTCCCTCCGAACGGCGTCGAAAGTTAAACGGAAGGAGAGAAAGGAAATTTGCACGAAAAGAGTATACACGCTGCTGCTTTCAAGGTAACGATAAAGAGATAAATAAGTAATAAGACAGGTGATGAGAGAGCAAGAGAAAGAGAAAGAGAGAGAGAGAACGAGCGAGCGAGGCAAACTATGACGTAAGGACACCGAGATGACATTACGCAGGTGGGAGGCCCGCGAGGCTTCCGATTAGACGAAAGTAATTGCTACGCGCAGTCCGATGGGAACCCGAGAGATGATTGCCTCGTAGAAATTCAGCTGGACGTTCCCATCGCGCACGATGACCTATTAACTCTCGTCGTATCTTGACCGACATATTACAGTCGATTGCGCGCTGTTTTCGACACATGGGGAACGATCATAATTCACATGTCATTCGGGATATCGGAACCCTTTTACCGTCGCGATTGATCAATCACCAGGAGTAATTTCGATTCGATATTTTACGTCGCGCATCATCCGAACGAGCGCAAATCTCTCGTTGAAATATAAACAATTTCTGTCGCATTACATTCGACTGTCGACGTATGCACAGGCTTCATTTACTGCTCATTGCTTCATTCGGTCTACGGGATTGCGTGATGAAATTTTGTACGATGCACGTATATTTGCAAAACGGCAATTACGATAAATTCGCAAGCATATTAAACTAATATAAAATTATTGATTTCTATAGAAAATCAAATAATAAAAAAATCATTTGAAAAAATTGATAATATTGAAAATAATAATAAATTAAGAATAATGAAAAATTTGAAAAATATGTTTAAGAAAATAAAAAATTTTTTAATTAAAAATAATCATAGAAATTATGTTGTAATATTAAAAAATGTTTAATTAATAAAATTAAGTTATAAAAGATATTATAATAATAATATATTAATCAAGATTAATAATGAATAAATAAAATACATTTTAATGTAAATTATGCATATAAATTTTTGAATTTTAAAGAAATAGATTAATCTATTAAATATAATTTATGAATAATAAATTTACTATAATTAAAATTATTTAATATTTATTATTTATTTTATTAGTATAATAATAGTAATAATAATTTATTATTATTTTATTTAATATATTTCTATAAAATATAATATACTATAATATACTATAATATACTGTAATATATTATAATATATTATAGTATATTATATATATATATATATATATATATATATATATATATATGAATGTGTATAAAAAATATTTAAAGAAAATAAATTGCACTGATTCACGGTACACGTTCTGTAATAAGTTTCTACAAAGGAATATTAGAATTGGCTTTCAACTATCTCTTCAGTGTCTCTAATAATTCAGGGCTTAAGCATGCAAGTCGAATTCGATAATTGAATTAATCAAATCGCAAATACGGTTGTCGCTTCGTACGCAAAGTATTGACGAAATCATCCACCTGATATTGCGCATTGTTAAATTGGACAATACGCAAATTTCATGTAAGCTTCGAAACGTTAATAATTACGCACTGAACAAAACTATTCAGAGTGTAAATAATTAAATTCCAAATCAAGCAGTTCCGCGAGTATCTAATTATTGCGATTAATGGAAATGAAAATGCATTTCGATGGCCCGGAAATCTATTGAAAATTTATCAGGACATTTTTTTCTGAAACGGAAGTCATTTGTCTGAAGACGCCATGAAGACGCCATGTTGTCCTATCAACCGTTGTGGACAGAACGACCGGTCGTTGCACTCGTAAATATATAAAATGCAATTCTCCACGAGCGCAGAGTCCGGCGGAATCGCACGAGAACAATTTTACCGCTTTATGACTCCTTCCCCTTTCGCCGACGCGGGTTACCGCATAAAAAAAGAGAGGAAATAAAAATTCGGAAAGCTAAAAAAAGAGCGCGGAGCACGACTCGCTGGACCGAAACCTCGCATCGGCAGTCGACTTTCACTATTCGCACAAGGTTGATCGGCTCTCGTGCGTCGAAATTCACGCGCGCAGATAAGCGAAATGAAAAATAAAAAAGAGATAAAAGTAGAAAAACCGGAAATCAAATTGCGCCCGGAATGTTGGAATCCAGTATGGCAACCCGATTGCGTGCGAGGAACGCTGTGAAACAACGCGAACGTGATGTAACGTCATTAACACGGACTTAGTATCGGGAAACTGCGTGACCTGTTCTCTCCTGCAAAATTGATTTACCATGTTTTTTTATAGACTTGTCAACGTCGCGTCGAGTTGAAGTAAAAATAACCGATTAACTGAATATATATATATATAATTTTTTTGCGTGTTAACCAAGTTCGGTACCGTCGTATAAAAATTACAGAGACCTTCATTAATAAGCGCTTGTTCTCTCTGACAATAATTTGCTTAACACGCAAAAATTATATATATATATATATACACAGGGTGTTTCATAAATGATGGACAAAATTTCAGGAATGGATTCTTCATGCTTAAAGAAGAGAAAAAAAGTTAATCAACATAGGTCCGGAAATGATTAGTTTTTGAGTTATTAAGATTTTTGTAACAAAATTTTGTCTCATTTCTCGTCTTAAAAATCCTTTCACAGGCATCAACAATGTTTTTCAAGTTTAGCGGCCTGAAAAACATTCTTGATACTTGTAAAAAGACTTTTAAGATGAGAAATGAGACAAAATTTTGTATTACAAAAATCTTAATAACTCAAAAACTAATCATTTCCGGACCTATGTTGATTAAGGATGTTTTGTACCTATCTTCAAAATATGGAGAATTTAATGAAAATTGTACAGAATGTCCTTACATATGTTTAGAATCTTCGGTACAATTTTTAAATCGATTCACTAAAGCGTTTACAAGTTATAAGGATTTTAATTTGCATCGAATTAACATATGTTCTTATAGGAAACGTATAACCACGTCGATTGAAATGACAAAAACACATGGAAATAATATTCAGAATTTAAAATTTGCAGAATTTAAAATTTGCAAAAGTTTAGTTACAGAGGAAATATTTGGTCAAATAATATTATACAAGTACTAACTGGTTAAAAAGATATTAAATATAATTCAATAAAGTTAGCCATGTATCTGTCATAAGGCGAAATTCTCTGCCAAAAGTTAATCATTTCGATTAAGGATGTTTTATACCTATTTTCAAAATATGGAGAATTTAATAAAAATTGTACAGAATGTCCTTACATGTTTAGAATCTTCAGTACAATTTTTAAATCGATTCACTAAAGCGTTTACAAGTTATAAGGATTTTAATTTGCATCGAATTAACATATGTTCTTATAGGAAACGTATAACCACGTCGATTCAAATGACGAAAACACATGGAAATAATATTCAGAATTTGTTTAAAATTTGCAAAAGTTTAGATACAGAGGAAATATTTGGTTAAATAATATTATACTAGTACTAACTGGTTAAAAAGATATTAAATATAATTCAATAAAGTTAGCCATGTATTTGTCACAAGGCGAAATTCTCTGCCAAAAGTTAATCATTTCGATTAACAAAATTCGGAATATTTCAGTAAAAATGCAATAAATATTAAAAAATACATCTCTGATTAAATTGTAATATTCCACACAATTTCTTACTCAAAAGACACTTACCCAAAAGTGGATATATTCGTCAATATTGATTTTTAGCTACTTTTTGCTGGGATTATACAAAACATCCTTAACTTTTTTTTCTTTTCTAAGCATGAGGAATCCATTCCTAAAATTTTGCCCACTTATGAAACACCCTGTATATTCAATTAAATAGTTATTTTTACTTTAACTCGGTAACGTTGACAAGTCTATAAAAAACCGTGGTGAATCAATTTTGTAGGAGAATCGACCGTGGATTTTCCGATACAACTAAGCTCGGTGTGCTAATAACGTCACGAGAGAATATACTAAAGATACGCTTATTGGATTGCAAACTTACATTCGAATCATTGGCGTAATCATGACGTTCTATTCGCGGTGGCAACCAAGACATTAGCTTCTTGATGGATTACTCGGTCGGAAACACGCCGATATAATCGCCATTAGTCTCTAATCTTTTCCAATCTTCCACACTTGGAAAGAAGACTGATGTAACATTATCGAAGCCGAGAGTGCGCGATTCTCTCTCTACCTAAAAACGACAAGAAAAATGTTCATAACTGGGAAATATACGATTGCGCGATCGATAAATCGATCGAATTGCAGAGGATCTGGATACGAGTTTCCGAATCCGAGCAGCGGGATATTCGCGGAATCTTCGAAGCGCGACGCACGCCGATCATATCGTCGGAATAACCGGGCGCGAGGCGGAAATCGAAAGCTCTCTCCCCTTGTCTTGGATGGGATATAAACGATGTCGACGAGAGGAGAGAGAGGAGAATCCATCCCGCGATCCAAGCGCGTAGTCGATTCATCCGCGTGTCGGAACGAGAGGCAAAAGTTTGCCCGTAAGTTGTTAAAGCGAATGATAACAATGCCCGAGTTGGCACTCCGCGTCGGGGAGAAGCTCAGGCAGCTCCCATAAATCCGGAGCAGTCACGGCCACGCGCTCGTAGACGAACTATTTTCAGCCTCCGTGAAAAAAAAAAAAACTTGCGCGGAATATTGTTGGAATTATGGTTCATGAAAATCATAACCGGGACTCGCGACGAAAATACACGTTTGTCCGAGAGATCCATGCGATTGCATTCGGCTTTTCTCTCGATTTTTCCCGAGATTATCTCGGGGATGAATTTTACGTACCGACAAAAATCGTATGATTTTTTATTGTACCAACAAGACGTATATGATTGAAGGCATTTTGGTTAAATCAAACAAGAATTTCTAGTTATCGTAATATAAGACTCGATTTTTAACTAGAACGTTTAATAGATTTTACTACAAGGCAAGCAGATTTTTTTCTCAGTGTTGTATTGAGGAATTAATTATTTAATTCTTTAACAAATTGGCGAAAATTTTGAGAACTTTGTCAGTACTTTACGTATTACACACATTTATTGTACTCGTCTCTCTCTTTTTCTCTCTGTCATCTATATTAAATATTAAATTTTTCGTTCTTTTCAAGATTTCATCTATAATAGTCAAATCTTCAAGTAGAAAACAAAACATTTTATTGAAATAATTTAGACTTTAATTGCTTGTATGATAAAAAATAATGTAATACTTTATTAATATTCGACACTGAGAAAAATCGTTTGATTGTACCAACAAGACGTATATGATTGAAGGCATTTTGATTAAATCAAACAAGAATTTCTAGTTATCACAATAAGACTCAATTTTTTATAACTAGAACGTTTGATAGATTTTATTATAAGGATTTGATTAGTATTTTCTGATTGGATCTATCAAATTTCTTGTTAGATTAATTTCTTTGCTTGCTTCTTAACTTAACTCTATATTCAATATTTGCCATGAAATGTATATAAAGAACTAGTATTAACATTAAATTCAAAGTATATTTTTCTTCTCTTACAAGCAGTAGTGCCAGAAAGAGGACGCTAGATCTCTCTGATTGTGTGTGTTTGGGCTGCATTCTCTTCTTGCATCACTGTTTATCAGTTTAATTTCAAACAAACTGAACTTAAAATAATTTATTCAATAATCTGAATTGAATTCATCCAATAATCTTGTTGAAATTCAGAATATTAAACAGACTTTTGAGATTAGATGGAAAAAATTTTAGACAACTTGGTGCTGGCAAGTTTAGTATTATTAACCAGAAAATTTGGTAAATTTAACAAAAAGAAATTAATCAGATTCATCTGGTAATTCTTACAAGAATTCTGGTTCGTCCATTTTCAACAGACATACTCTCTAAAAGTGAATCAGTGAAAATATCACATTTAAACAGTAAAATATGATTTCACTGAGAATCAGTGAGTATTTTACTGATCTTCAGTGGAAACGCTTATTTTTTTGTTATTTTTATCTCATATCTCACTCATTATGGTCAGTTAAAATAAAATTCACTGTAAAACTAGTAATCGCTAGTTCGTTCGTTTGTCGCTATCTCTCTCGTATTTAATTTTAGTCATAAGAATTATTTAAAGTTTGCAAAGAGCAAAATTTAAAATTAGAAGTATTATTTCGATTTAATTTCTGATACAATCTCACTCAACAGAGACGCTTCAGATATTAAATCGATCTTTATAAGTCGGACAAATAAATGTCTGGCGACTTAATGAAAATTATTCGTTCGTTATCTATTTAAAATAACAAGTTCAATATCCATGTAATATAAATAAAATAAAATTTTTAATATAATAAATATTTAGTAAATATAAATAAAATTTTTAATTTCATATGAAATAGATAAAGAGATGAATTGTAGCTTAATATTACTGACAATAATGAAAGAAATATTACTGATATTGAGAAATATTACTGATTGAAACAATCAAAATTATTAACTCATTCTTTCAACAAAATATCACTGATTTACAGTACTTATAACTGCTGTCATCAGTGACTATTTACTATTTTTCAGTGATAATACACTGATTCACTTTTAGAGAGTACTGATTGAATATATCAGAATTCAAATTAATGCAACCAGATTTTTTTCTCAATGCGAGACGTTGAAAATTATAAATAATGGAGAAACGATTTTTGTAAAAATGACAGGCACGATATTTGCGCTCCTTCGTCTCTCTTGTCCAAATATTGATTTCTCCGAAACGTTCTCGTGTATCACGAGCAGAGATGGAGTTGTTACATGTCAAAATTCGCGCTATTAAATAATTTGAAACGCAGAGCTCTCTGTTTCTATTGCGGCAATTAATTCTTGTCTTATAGCAAATATTACTACTATAGTGATACATACACATATATACACTACTCCGGGCTAATAATAATTGCTGAGACGTATTGTTGCTCGTGGCGATTTGTTGCGGGAGGTAAGATCTATTATATCTCCGCATCTTCCGTTGCTTCTTGCGACATCGTCGACCAGATCCCATCAATTCGTACGTAACTTTATAAGTAGGTGGAGATAGGAATATAGAGCCGAGAGACAAGAATATGCGGTAAAATTTATCTTTGTAACATACGCAATACACCTCTGTCAGAGTCTTTCGAGACTTTTACGTAAGAGTCAATTATGTGATAAAATATACGTACACATTGCGGTGTTAATTATATGGGTTTTACGATCGTGCATGTAACATTGTAGCGAGCACGTCAAAACAAATAAACGAGGCTAACCGAAATAAGTAGATGTTAGTAGAAGTTATGATATGTCTGTGCAAATTCCGATGCCAGCGAGAGAAAATTACGAGAAACGCGAGGGGTAAATCAGGAAAAACGAAAACGTCTTCCGAGAGAGGGCTTTTTGGCAGCGAAGGACGATGCCTTCATCTCGTTGTTGATTCCAACGTCTCGCGTCGAGACGTTGAAATCTTTTTAACGACACGACTGGAATAGGTCGCGTGAAGACGAGATGTTCAGAAATGGATACGAAATAGTATTTTAAATGAAAAATAGATAGATTTTTATATAAACGCTATTGAAATTCTAATTTATTAAATTTTAAATTAAAGAAAAATAACTTTCATATTGATTTTTGCATGATGATTTAATGGTCAGAAATAATTATTTCAAATATGTATTTCTCGTTAAAAAATTCACAAGTGTTTTCGACTAACTGTAAGATAATAATTTCCTCTCATTTTATTTATTATATAAATAGTAGCATTTAAACATACTGTTTTTTTCACGAATCCATATTAATTCTATCGTATCAATCATTTGTACGCTTTCTTACGGCTACGAGTATGTCTTATCAATGTTGCAATTTTCCTTGCATGATACTAGAAATAATATTAAAAATCCGAGAAATGAAATATTTGAAATATCCCAATGAGTCTGGACATTTTACGCATTAATTCCCATAAGAATTTTTCTAATACCGCTTTATTATTTCAATCAATAATTGCAAACAATGCATTTCGAATAAATATTCCTTCTCGTAGCTACATAACAACGTCGCGAAGAAATAAACATTTCAAAACAATATTTGATTTATTAACGATACACTCACGTGTTAGCTTCAATAGTTGGGCATTTGAAGCGTGGCCATTACTGCGGAACATAGTACAGAAATAGTCGAATATAACGGACCAAAGGAGATAGCCCGGCGCTCATCTTCTCCAAGACGCGGGACAAACGGACCGCATGTGCGATACGCACAACATACATACCTTCCGCTCGCGGAACCGCAGCAACGCATGACGGCGGCGATAATTATAAACCGACGAGACGAGGGCGCAGCCACGGTCCGACAAAAGGGAGTCCTATGTTCCTATTTTATCCCCGCGGAAGAAATTTCTTTCGGGTCACCGAGCTACGCTCGGCGTCTCTAGCTAATACGACTTAATAAATCGCCCAACATAAATCACCGCGGCTGACAGAGTCTCGCGAAAACGCGCGCCCTTTTGCTCTTAATGCTCGCGGCGGATTTAATCGACGCCCCCCCGCGGATTATTCGCATTCGAAGGGGCAAGACGAGAAGAATCGACGAGCGGGCGCGATATCGTTTAACGCACTGAGAAAAAAATCTGGTTGCATTAATTAGAATTCTGGTAGATTCAAACAGTATGTCTGGAAAATGGACGAACCAGAATTCTTGTTGGAATTATCAGATGAATCTGATTAATTTCTTCCAATTAAATTTATCAAATTTTCTGGTTAATAATAGTAAACTCGCCACCAAGTCGTCTAAAATTTTTTCCATCTAATCTCAAAAGTCTGTTTAATATTCTGAATTCCAACAAGATTATTGGATAAATTCAATCCAGATTATTGAATAAATTATTTTTAATTTAGTTTGGAAATTAAACTGATAAACAGTCATGCAAGAAGAGGATGCAGCTCAAACACACAATCAGAAAGCTAGCGTCCTCTTTCTGGCACTACTGCTCGTAAGAAAAAAAATACTTTGGATTTAATGTTAATACTAGTTCTTTATATACATTTCATGGCAAATATTGAATACGAGTTAAGTTAAGAAGCAAGCAAAGAAATTAATATAACAAGAAATTTAATAGATCCAACCAGAAAATACTAATCAAATCATTATAATAAAATCTATTAAACGTTCTAATTATAAAAATCGAGTCTTATCATGATAAC